CATTTGGAGTCCATTTAGTTAGGGCATCAGCAAAAAATACTCAACGATGACATACTGGCTGGTGCCAGCCGTCCTAAAATTACGACCTGGTAGAAGTCAGAATTTATAGACCATTTAGTTGGGTATTTTTTTTTATTGTATTTTATTTAAACGCAGAAAAACTTGGTACAATATGGCACCAAGAAAGATGCGCCACACAATGATCATAAAACAACATAGATTAAAAGTAAAAATATGGGTGGAGAACGAATAAAGAACTTCATCAGGGGGGAAGACAGTCATACTTAACAAGTCCAAACAGTATCCGTCAACTAACTTCGGCAAGGGAAGAAAGAAGGAAATCGCAACACGTTCGTCATTGATTACGATTCTCAGCCATATCCGATAACGTTTCGAGCCATCGATTTGAGCTATCTCTTGAACTCCAACCAGGGAGTCGTGACACACCAACCGAAGCTAATCTAGCACAAATATCCTTCATCCCACGACGGTATGGACTGACCACCCCTCCGCCTTTTCCATCGCGTCCCGGGCTAGCGAACAGAGACCTATACGGAAGCCTCTGGGACGACATTCGCAGGACATGTCCAAGCCACCGTAGCCGGTGTTCCTAGATGACGTCACTCAATGAATGGTGATCTCCACTGTATTCATACACACGCCGAAGAACCTCAGAATTACTCACGCAATGATGCCATCCATCGAACGCAAACAATCCTGAGGAGACAGCGATGATCGGATACACAGAGTCGCTGCACATCCTCAACCTACTCGGAGACGCCAGGTTTCACAGGCGTAGAGCAAGACAGCTCGCATCGAAGCATTGTATACCCGACCTTTGACAGCCAGGCTAACATCGTGACGGCGCCATAGGTGGCTCAAGTTGATGTATGCCACCCCAGCCTTCATTATACGGTTGGAAATCTCATCCGTCACTCCTCGGCTAGCACTCACACAACTGCCCAGGTACACAAACTTATCAACAACTTCAAGCGGTTCACCCGCAAGAGTGAGTGCAGGTACAGGCGGCTCCTGCCAATCTTGTAACAGTACTTTGCAATTGGACGGCGCTAAGTACACACCATACTTACAGAAACTGATCGCCAACTGATTAAGTGCGATTTGGGCAGCCTGCATGCTATCTCACAGTAAGACGATATCGTCTGCATACTCGAGGTCGAAAAGTCTATTTCCAGGTAGCAGATCTACACCACCTTCACGCACATCCTTCAGAGCTGACTCCAAAATGTCATCGATGGCAAAGTTAAAGAGAAATGGAGAGATTGGGCAACCCTGTCTAACCCCACTGTTGGTTGGAACCACTGATGATAATTGGTTGTATGCCCTCACTCTACCTGAGGTGCTTCTGTATAGGGCTTTCAAGATGTTAACACATTTCCCAGGTACACCTCTCTCTCTCTCTCTAGCAGACAATTCCAAAGCACAGTACTGTCCAACGAATCGAAAGCAGCCCTAATATCAAGTTGGGTCGCAGTGGCTGAATAGTCTATGCGCTTCACTTGTGACTGGAAGATAATTGGGGGTTCGAATCCCGACTAGTCCGAAACTAGGAGGACGACACAGCTATCTAGTCCTGTCTATTGGTTTTCAATGGTTCTCTAACGTGATGTCAATCCGTCGTCAAAGTCGAAACATGTCAGATCGGCACAAACTAATTCTTGAAAATATATATAAATATTAGAACAACACCTTTAAGCGAACAATATTCCCGTTTTCAATTAGATCTCATCAAGCTTAACTCTAATATGCCTAGATAAGTTTATAAATAAATATTCAAATATAAACCAATCATGGTCTTTTTTCTATAGGGTAATAAGATGGTGAATATAAATTGTGCAATTAGTCATAATAGCAGTATTGATAATAATAATAATAATAATAATGGTTTTTACGGGTTGATCACGGATTGATATCAGTTAGAGAACCATTGAAAACCAGGGAGTATTGGACAGCTGCTGTTTCATCCTAGTTTGGGAATCATCGGCAGTACGCACCCACTGGGATTCGAACCCGGGACCTTCCGGTTACAAGGCAAGCTCGTATACCATTCAGCCACTGGGACCCGATTCAATGGCTCGTGAACTCTAACTTCTACTAATTCGTGATTTACCGCGACCCCAACCATTGTCGTTGGTGGGACATCCATCCACACACGTGACATCTAATTGGACCTGAATGGTATACGAGCTTGCCTTGTAACCGGAAGGTCCGGGTTCGAATCCCAGTGGGTGCGTACTGCCGATGATTCCCAAACTAGGATGAAACAGCAGCTGTCCAATACTCCCTGGTTTTCAATGGTTCTCTAACTGATATCAATCAATCCGTGATCAACCCGTAAAACACAACTAATCCTTACAAAACCAAACTATAGAAAATAATGGTTTTATCAGTAATCAAGATGAAAAAGTGAGGCAGTCTGTGAAAACACGAATAATGAAAGCACAGCATGATTAAACAAACAATTGTTCAGGTGGAAGTAGTCAATAAAGGCTAGTAAAAACAAATGAACCGATTAAGTAATGTTAGATTGTAAGAGACGGAAATGAAACACGTTTTTAATGGAGATGTGATAAGATTAAGTTTGATATGTATTACCGACATGTCGATGGTACATTTATCTTAGCAGATGAGAATGTTAACATAGACGAAGTGTTGCTGAAATTCAACAACATCCACCCTTCGCTTACCTTTACTTGTGAAGAGAAGCAGGAGAATAAACTACATTTCCTGAATGTCTTGCTAAGTAGGCGAGAAGATGGGTCACTTGGGAGAAGTGTGTACAGAAGAAGCACATTCACAGGGCAATACACACACTTCCTTAGTTACGTACCCATTAAATATAAAAGGAATGTTGTAAAATGTCTCGCGAGCAGAGCAAGGAAGATATGTACGGAGGACCTCTTACAAAAGGAATTTGAATATATATTCACGATTCCTTGATGGAGATGGGCTATCCGAGTAGTTTCATAAAGAAACATATATAAAAACATCAGAGAAAAAACCTGAGACTCTGACTGCTGCATGTAAAAAACCTCTATTTATTAAGTTATAATTTAATGGTGACTTATCAAGTGAGATTTTATTTCAGAAACTTTCCAGTAGTACACAGAGAACTCTGTTTACGCAGCACACCTATATTTGTCATTCTCTAGCTGACGAATGATAAGCTAGGTAGTTTTGTCACATCTATGTGCATTTATCAATTCAATTGCACCTGCGGTGAAAGTTGTGTTGGGCGTACTACTAGACACCTTAGCCAGCCAACGTGTTAGTGAACATCTCCCATCGTGGTAGTTTGGCAAAGGATAGACAAAAACAATCTGTAGCTCAATTTTGTCACATGTGATTGATAGTGGTCATGTGGTCGAGAAAACGAGAGCCTTCAAAGTAATTCATCGTATCCCACCGAATCTTTCTAATAGACTTCGTATTCGTCTACTACACACAGCTAAGGCAGGTGATAGGCATTCGAATTATTAAACCTAAGCTGTGCATTCAAAAGAAGTTCGTACATAGCCATTATCCCTCCCTTGTTGGCCTATTAAGATATAACCAACTAATGACTTCTACACCACCCCTTATTTATATTTTCAACCCTTTCTTATCATCCCTTAATCTTATCTTCATTATAAACGTGTTTCATTTCCTTCCCTTACAATCTAACATTACTTAATCGGTTCATTTGTTTTTACTAACCTTTATTGACTACTTCCACCTGAACAATTGTTTGTTTAATCATGCTGTGCTTTCATTATTCGTGTTATCACAGATTGCCTCACTTTTTCATCCTTATTATTGATAAAACCATTATTATTATTATTATTATTATTATCATTACTACTATTATGACTAATTACACAATTTATATTCACCATTTTACTCTCGTACAGACAATCATAGTTGTCAATATTAGTCGATGTACGTACAAAACAAGTTGAATAGGTGTAATATACTAGTGAAGTAATAAGATGAATAATCTAATGAATGAGTCGTTTCTTGAATGTCAGATCATCTATACGTTAACTGTATCCGCCTACTCAAAGCCTTTGTTCTCATTTATCTCACGACCAATATTGGGGACATAAACATTGACGTAAATTAATGCCTACCAATTCGGCTAGCAGCCAGCTGTCATTACACCTCTACCTGATTGAATATCTGTTTGTTTAATCATGTTGTTTTTTCATTATTCGTGTTATCACAGACTGCCTCACTTTTTCATCTTGATTATTGATAAAACCATTATTATTATGAGTAATTGCACAATTTATATCTACCATCTTATTATCCTATAGACAAAACACCATGATGGTTTATGATATATATATATATCACATATATATAAATATGTGTATGGTGGTCTCTCTTTCTGTTTGCTCGCTTAGTCTGTGACCATTTCACTTTGATGAACCTGTCTCCTTTAAAAATGTATATTCTCCTTATATTATATATAATATAAATGAGTGTTTGTTGACAGTCCGTTGCTTGGTGACATATATCCATATTATATGTGTGGTTGTTGACATGTCTGCTATATTTTGCTATGTATATATGGATCGACACTCCATTATAATTAGCCATTCATGTTAAGACTGTCTATTGATTTGTTCACATACTTGTTCGGACATTCGCTCTCACAATCTTGTGTGACACTTTGGTGTGATACCACTTATTGCATTCTCCTTGTGTTTGGAAAATAGAAGTATCATCACAAACCTAGTGGTCTTCCTGATTTCCGCCTTCTTGCGTCAGGACTATTAAATTCTCGACCAGAACATAGCAATAATTTAGCGACGAGTACATAACAGTTTATAATTGAATTTTTATTTGTAAAGTTATGTGTGTATATTAGAGCTAAGCCTGAAGAGATCTAATTGAAAACAGCAATATTGTTCACGCTTAAATGTGTTGTTCTAATATGTACATACTAATTAACTGACGTTAGCAGAATAATGAGTCATACACACATAAACGCTTACCATAATTTCACTGTTCGAAGTTGTTCAGGTAAATCATAGATTAAATTAGTCATTTCAAATATCACAAATAAGGTCAGTTGATCTAAAAAATAAAATGAAAAGAAACATATATGAAGTAAAAAAATAATAATAATAACTAAATTTATCTCTTTAGGTACACTGTAAGACATTTTTGTCAGCGGTGCGCTTTTGATCTCATTACTAATATCTCAACAACAGAATATAAGTTACAAGGTGGAGGTGGGAGTGGCGTGAGTCATATTCCGCGGTGTGAAAAAAGATTGTGCATAGCACAAAACACATACAGACAAAATGGGGCACACTGAATGTACATTATTGTAAAGGTTTTGTATTTCCCAATGAAATAATGAATGAAAAACAAAACGATACTCTGTCGTTGTTTTTACTGACAACTCGCTATTTAGTGCTGATGGTAACAGCTTTATCAAAGTAGTAGTATTATTAAACCAGAATTTACAAAATCCACTCAGCTTATATGTATAGTAACTTGATCATTGTTTATCAGCGTGAGGTAATTTTTACGTGTTTGTCTAGGCCTTGTAACCGAAAGGTCCTGGGTTCGAACCCCCTGGCAGTGGGTGCGTACTGCCGATGATTCCCAAACTAGGATGAAACAGCTGTTAAGTACTCCAGTGAAGGTTTTCAATGGTTCTCTAACAGACATCAATCCGTTATAAACTAGTAAAAACAAATCTAATCCTTACAAACCAACATTTGAAAACATTTGATTATATCAAGGTGGATCATGGATGTCACAAAACAACTGAAAACCATCGGGGAGTGGTACTTGGCAGCTGTTTCGTTCTAGTTTTTGGTTCTCTTCAACAGCACGTACCCATCGCTCCACCAACCAGGAACCAAAACCAGGACCTTCATGTTACAAGGCAGGTTTGTTGTGCATTTGACCACCAGAACCGAATTCAACGACCCGTGAATTCTAACTTCTGTCAATTTGTAATACACAGCGCTGAATGGTCTACAAACTCACTTTGTAACCTGAATATCCTAATTTCCATCCTTTGCATGCTCATGGGCCTGCACTGACGAAGAGCTATAAACAAGGACGAAACAACTGTCCAGTATTTCCTAGTGGTTTCCAGCGATTCCCAAACTGACATCAATTTGTAATCAATACTGAAATCAATGAAATCCTTGTGAACCAATACTTAAAAATAATACTATTCGTCTACATGTATTATTCTAAATTATACTATGATGACTTTTTTAGAATTAATAATGCTCCGTACATAAAAATCAGCATAACTGACTGACAGTGTACTAGTTAGTGACTGAACAAGAATAATTATTTGAGAGTCATACCAACAGTGATTAAATAAGGAGTGTACAAAATCGATATTTAACTAAGACAAACCCTTTTATTAATCCTGTTATATAAACAAAAAAATCAATATTCCGCGTCTACATGAATTTAGGCTACGTTACTTCTGCCTTCCGACCTACATTAATATGAAATCAGCCTGGTAATCTAAGGCATACAGTTTGAAGAACAAGATTTTAGATTTTCAACACCAAAAGTAAATTTCTTCAATGCTTCTATATGATTACGAGACTTAGATGACGTGTCACAAAACAAGCAATTTCGAACAGGGTAATTCAGACTTTTACTAACTTCCTTCTTCGTTCTATGTTCAAGGTCAGATATGGTTAGAAAGGACAAACCAGCAACAAGGACATCTATTATTATTATTCTCTTGGATTCCTAGTGGAACATAGGGCTTCAACATAGGGCACGTCTCCACTTGCTTCTGTCTTCTACTGTACTTTTCACCTGCATCCATGTTCACCATCAATACTGTCTCAGCTCCTCTTCACACCATCTCCTCCATGTCACCCACCCTTGCTTGCACTGACTACCCACTCGCCGCTTCCCTTTCGTCCTGGCTCCACTCGACCAATGGCCTGACGCGCGAGCGATGTCACCCAGCGGTGGCCTCCTCCTCAGCGAGTGTCCAATGTGTCATCTCCACTCCATCTCCTGCATATTTGTGTTGGGCGATCGATTGGTTCTTGTTTTGTTTGTTTGTTTGTTTGTTCCCATAGTTTCTTGTTGGTGATTCTGGTGATTCCGGCCCGGCCATCTGATCTTCATCATTATAGAGCCAGCGAAGACAGTTGTTGTTGTTGTTGATAAAGGTGTGAGTTGGCCTGTTGGTTGGAAATATTCTTTGTGACCCACCCGCCCGCCAAGTTACTGATCCATATAGAAGAACTAACTAACTTGACGTTTGTTTATATTGAAAATCCGACGGAATTTTGTTGTCAATGCTGGCTGAGTGACGAAGATTTCCAGATTGGTTTCAGGTTGGTGATGAATGTGTTTCTCGCCTTCCCGATTCTCGCTCGATTTGACATCCTCGTCCGTTCCGACTGCGTGTAGTTGAGACAATGGTCCCTAGATAAGTGAGTGAATGAAGTAACTTTTTTCAAATCCTTACCGTTGATGGTGATCGTCGCTGGATGTTGTTGTTGTTGTTGGTTGGTTGGTTATTTTCATCACCTCTGTCTTGTCTATGTTCACCTGGAGTCCTGTCTTCTCCGGCTGCTTCTTCGACCAATTTGTCGATTCTCGCTTGTAAGTCTTCAATTTTGTGTGACATCAAACATAAATCACCCACACGCGAAATCCATGTCTTCTAGGTTCTTCACGTCGGTCCAGGATATCCCTGTCTTCTCGTTTCCCACTCTCTGACGTGGGACATATAACGGCATATCAACCAAGAACATTTTTTTATTCCTTTACTTTCGAAATGGAACATAGGGCTTCATGTTAGAACTATGCAGTTTCGGTAGCAGTGATGTTCATTTTTAACGCGATGGGTTTGCTAGTCTCATGCCTAGCCCCTTCCGTTTTTACCAGTCTTCTTCCTGGTCAAGCAAGGTAAAGAACTGCTCCAGTTGGCCATAGATCGAACGCAGGACCACATGCGTGGTAGGCGAGCATTCTACCGCTGTGTTACTGACGCACAACAACATATTGCCAAACAAATATGTCCAAGGAAATGGGGATGAACTGGACACACATATATACTGATGGGACCACTGGGTAACATAGTGTGTAACAGGTCATTACTCGAGTGGAAACCGAATAGGAAACGACGCGTTTGGTGTGGATCCCAGGATGACAGGAAGGAGACTGTGTGATGAGATGACACTGAATAAATTAAAATTATATTTCAATAGTTTACACACAATAATAAGTTCCTTTTGTGTTTTGGTTATATTTCAATCAATAAGACTGCCCGTGTTCACACCACTGTTTGAATTGTTTTGTTTTTTAATTTACACATTTATGATTTGTACTCATATACACAGTTCATTTCTATGTATAATTCATTCATTTTCATGTATTCAGAATTATATTCCAGGTTGGTGACAATTGTGCTACTGAGTCACCCTAGTTACATGTATCCGGTGTGACTTTAGTGAATATAGATTCTGTTATAAGTCTCTCTTTCCATTTGTTCATGTTAATTCATTTTTAGAATACACACATTGTTCCAATCGATATTGTGGTTTTTGTCCCATGCATGTACAGCTATAGATGAATTTTTTCTCTAAATTCTTGTAAGCTTGTGTTCCTGTTGGTTGATCTTTAGTTAATCAGGCGTTTATGTTCATTCACTCTTATTTTGAGTGATCTGGACGTTTGACCCACAAATTTAGTCGATCACACGGTGCAATATATCTGTTTGTAGATTACATTGTTTTTATCAATCATTTTTTTGGATGTTTCAGTTAATTTATTTTTAATTCGATTCGTCGGTTTAAACTTTGTGCAAATTCCAGTATTTTTGAGGTTTCTTTGAATTACCCCTGATGTGCCATTTTAGTATGGTATTGTGATTGTTTTTTTGCCTTTCCCTTTCTTGTCATTCCCTGGTTTTACCATCGTTTTTCTCTTTTTATATTATCTTTTATAAATTCTTTTGGATAGTTGTTTTCGAGTAGCATTTTGAATAGGACTTTTATTTCTTTACACTGGTTCTCTGGTGTTGTTGTAAGTCTACGTATTCTATCTGCATGACCTTGTAATAATCCTCGTTTTACCGTGAATGGGTGGGGTGAGTGACAGATAATCAAGGAATCTTCCAGAATGTGTAGTTTTTCTATATAACGTCGTTTGTTTATGCTACCATCTGTTACTCTTTGTATTTTGCAGTCTAATACACATAGGCAGTTCCCGAATTTCATTCTCTATTTCCATAGTGAATTTTATTGAGTCGACATGATTGTTTACAGTGTGTGAGAAGAGTCGCTCAGTATAGTTGTCTTTTTCACTATTACTAGTGTGTCGTCTACATATCTCCACCAACATTTTATTGATGAACACCGTTAAACCGACGAATCTAATTAAAAATAAAATAAATCAACTGAAACATCCAATAAAAATGATGGATAAAACAATGTAATCAAAAAATTACACAGGGTTAGGATATAATTGTAAAATTGTTATTCTAAACGGATTACAAGTGTGATCAGGAGGAGCATGGAAACAAACTTAAAATAACTGTTTTTATAACTGAAAAAAATTAGGTGAATTTAATGAAAACTGTGGGAATAAGGATCAGACACGCGGCGAACGAAAAAAATGCTCAAAAGGTAAAGAGAGAACGAGAAAAGGACGAAGAAAAACAAGAAATTAGTCCAACCTCTACAACTACCATGGGTGACCTAGTTTGGTATATTCCCTTGGCTTCCGTTTTTTTCCTTCTCTTCCTCGTCCTTTTTTCGTTCTCTCTTTACCTTTTGAGCATTTTTTTCGTTCGCCGCGTGTCTGATCCTTATTCCCACAGTTTTCATTAAATTCACCTAATTTTTTTTCAGTTATCAAAAAACAGTTATTTTAAGTTTGTTTCCATGCTCCTCCTGATCACACTTGTAATCCGTTTAGAATAACAATTTTACAATTATATCCTAATCCTGTGTAATTTTTTGATTACATTGTTTTATCCATCATTTTTATTGGATGTTTCAGTTGATTTATTTTATTTTTAATTAGATTCGTCGGTTTAACGGTGTTCATCAATAAAATGTTGGTGG